TCTTCTACTTTCATGAAAAATGTTACTTTTATAAAATTATAATAATTCAACATAGAAAACTGTACTATTATTCTTCATATACTATGTCATGTAGTCATGGATACAAAGAATAACATGAAAATGAAAAATTGTTCAAATTTAAATAAACTACATAGTAACTATTATAGATATATCTTGTCTTACCATCTAAGTAATTAAATTAAAACATATAACTGCTGTTCTCACTATATTAAACACCAGAAAGTACAATAGATTATATGAAATACAATGGAAATTAGAAGAGCGAGACTAATGAAATCTCTCCCTTCCCACAATTTTTACTGTGTTAGACTATTTTGAAGCAGATCAGAAATTTATAGGTAATTATTTAATGTTGTTTTTTGTAAATACTGTTTTGCATTATGTTAATATGAGAAATATTTAAGCGATTTGATGTGAAGTAGAAAAAAGTTTTTTAATTAACGCATATGCACTGTAATACGAATATAAAGCAATTAAAATATTGAAAAGTGAAATATTCCTCATTCTAAAATAACTCTCGTGTATGTTATACAATCACATAGTACAAATGCAACAAAAAAAAGTATTGTGTATGAATACATGATGAAATATTTGTTATCAGAGATGTTCAACTGACTTATGTTTTAGCAATATCCATTGGTGATCCGCCAGCTGTATTTGTAGTCGTATTAGCGATTGGTGGACCACCTGGACTTACAATAGTTGGTGGAATTGCAGGTTTGACAAATCTGTCTGATGTGCGTCTATTGGATGGTGTTACCACATGTCCCTGCTTAGACAGTGCAAGATATTAAAACTTAATATAAATGTAAAATATTTTATATATACATATTTCAAATATACTATGTACAATACAAAATAAAAATTTGATGAAATAAAATTCAAACGTTACATTAAAATTATAGCTGGATGTAGAACAAAGTTGAATTAACATAGTCATCACAAATAAAACATAATTTTTATCTACAATTTGGTATAAAAAAGCATAGCTTACATGTAAAAACTGTTGACAGTACAGTATATAAAAATTTTAACTAACTTCTACTGATCTTTTAACTGTAGTCAACTTGTGTTATTAACTAGCCGAATACTCTGTAATAAAATGTGACTTACCGTGGAAGGAGGTGATGAACTTGCAAATGGAATTGCAGTAGGTTGACCACAAGCATAACATCGATTTGTGTTAAATCCTTCTCTAGTTGAAGAGCCTGAAAAAGGCAATATTATTAATAATACAAAAATCTATAATTATGTAATACAAAAAAACTGAAAATTTTCTGAAATTTACCTGGACTTAACGGTCTAGAGGAACTAGGTGAAGGATTGTACGGCACAGGGCTGGAAACAGTACGATTTCTTATATTTCCACCAGACATCACAATTTCATTATAGTGCCGTTCTTCTTCCATTTCCAAACTAATAAATAGATGAAATTTGAAATCGAACTAAATAAAATCTACTATTTATATAATATAATCAGTTACCTTGACTCTGATTCTGAAAGGTGTCTGCATAAAGCTTCTCGACGTTCTACTTCTAACTGCAATTTTCTTTGAAGTCTCAAATTTTCTTCACGGATTTGTTTTTCTTCATTCACATATCGTTGCATTTTTTCTGTATCTAATATCAATAGTAGACAAATGTATTATATAATATTTGGTATAAATAGCGGTTCATTTTTAATAAAATAAAACATTTTACGATAGGAGTAATACATTACATACATCAAATTATCTTGTACAAAGTTCTTTTGTTATAAGAAAATTTTATAAAGTATTTACATTATTATATAAAAAAAAAAGTCTTACGTTCTTGTTGCGAAATAAGTAATGTATGTCTCAGTCTAGCCACTTCGCTTCTTAAGGTTTGAATATGTGTACTTAAACTAGTAGCAGTATCACCGTTATTAATTTCTCTTGGAGAAGTGGGATCTGATACAGGTTGATCCAATTTTATCTGGAGCATTCTTTTTTCTGCTTCTAGCTTGTCCATTCTTTTCCATAATTTATTTACTAATGCCTCTTGTTCTTGTTCAAGAGTATTCTCAAGTTCAACCTTTTCTCTACGTAATTGTTCTAAATTACTTTGTTTTGCAAGTGTTTCAGCTTCAAGTTTTTCTATTTTTCTCATTAATTTGTTAACAAGACATTCTTGTTCTTGTTCTAAAGTTTGCTCCAAGCGACATTTTTCTTGGCGCAATTGATTCAATTTTCTTGATAAATCATTAGTTAAACACTCTTCTTCTTGCTCATAATGATGTGCTAATGTTTCTTTTTCTTTCTTCAATGCCTGTATTTTCTTTAATAATGTGTTACTTATAAATTCTTCTTCCTGTTCTGCTTTTGCTTGCTAAAATATAAAAACAATATATAAGTAAATAACATTTTTTTATAATTTTATATTCATAACACATATAAATATTTTTAAATTAAATACATTATTGATTTCTTTGCTAACATTTAATATTTAAATTTTTGTTAAAAAAAGATATATATGTATAAAGCAAAGAAACAAAAACTGTTTTCGAAAAGAATTATATTGTATAATTATACGATTACATCATTACCAGTATAAATATTACCTGTCTTAATCATTTAAGTTTTATATACTATCTATTAATGTTACAGATGTTTTTAGAAATATTTGATTCTAATGAAAAATTTCATTAAAGAAACGACTTTAAAAGCCAAAACAAATAAATTATAAAAATTAATTATTCTATTCTATGCAAATAAATTTTCTAAGATAAGCTATAAAAAAATAATACAAAATTAATTTACGTTTATGTATTAAGTAATACTATATAACATACATTGCAATACATCTAAATTATATTTCAAAGACACACTACTCACGAATATTATATTCGTAATATAATTATGTATAGTAACATTTTACAATTTTGTAACGAAAAAATATGCGAATTTAATATCTGAAAACAATCATAAAATATTTCGGAAAGTATACGAAGGAAAACTATTTTCTGTCAAACCGTGTCTTTTGCAGAAAGTCTTTTGAAGAAAGTTTTCCGATTTATTAACAATAGGATTGAATATTAAAGTATAGGAATGTTAAAGCGCCTTATATAAAATAGAATATAAGGTCAATTCATGCACCGATATCCGACGAACTTAACAAACACACTCGAACAACTTACTATAATGACAGAGGCTTGACGAAGACCACGATTTTCTTCTTGCAACGCTTTTACTCTTAATTTATATGTTTCCAACTCGACTTTAAGAACACGATTGTGCTGTTGTAATGACTCGATTCTTTTTTGAAGTTGTTCTCTAGTTACAGGAGACGGTGGCATCATTATTGGTCCTCCGTCGATCGAGCTGGAGTCGCTTTCGGATGCGCTATCACGGTCAGCCATTTTTCTTAGACGAAAATTTCTTTTTAAAAAAATTCGCTATTCCTTCTTTTTCATCGCACACTCAAATGAAATCTTGTAGTATATTTTTCTCTTGAAACACGAGTATGTAATTTTTCATTAGAACTTCATTACTTTGCGAGAAAAAAACTGTAATATCAGAGCATACTGCTGCACAACATGTGCTCTACTATGGAACGAATCAGCTGTTTGATTGTCCATGAATAACTTGAAAGGAAGACGTCACAATGCATTTCAGAATCATAAGTCCCTAGATTTTAAACTATTTCTTGTTGTTCACATAACAGTTCGGGCAACTCCTTGATAGGTAGAGGGGGAACGCTGTGCACCCCCGCCGTCGGACTGCAGCAGAGTGGGGGTTGCGACAAGCAGGCCACTTCCAACTGTCTCTGCTCAGCGCCATCGAACCGACGACACGTGAGATACGCAACATAGTTTTATTGTACTGCGTATCTAGTTCCTTTTGGCAGGCCGTCCCTACAACAATGTTCCCCTACTATCTCAACTCAAGGAACTGTCAAGACTGTTATGCGACGCTCACAGAGAGTATCACAGCCGAAGAACTTGGAAAACTAAAAGAAAATTATAACGATGCATTTCTTGAAAAATTCGCTAATGCAATGTCTAAGAGCTTCATATTTAAGTTGCGAGTTAACCAGGAAGAATTCCGCGCAAGTTTATTTATAAAAGTATTACATTCAAGAACGTATATTATAAATGGGTTCGAAGTGAGTTTGATTGGTTTTTCTTATAGGATGAAAAGAGGTTGAAAGCAATTCATCTCAGTGTATCCCCAGTGGATCATAAAGTCTATAATAAGCATTTACTAAATGAAATCGCGAAAGTTGCTGGTATCGGAAAGGCTTTACCTTTAATCATTTGTCTATATAATGCATTTATAAAAATTTTATACATACATTTTGTACATAATAAAGATAAATGTATGTTCTTTCCTCAATTGGAGTCAAGACTTGGACTCCAAGTAGGTATATACCTCCCTATATTCATTTACCTATAACAGAGGTGCCTGACTTGCTCACCTTTGCGCTAGTAACTCAAATACAGCATACCCTCACTACCTCTACTCAAGTACCTAGCTGCGCGAGACTATATAGGTATGTAGCATTTCTATGTAGTGTTCAAACAAAGAATCAAATTTGACCACTTAGCCAGAGTGCCAGGTCGCCAGCACTTGGTGATATTATAGAGGGCGTAACTTTTCGTGAGGGGAGTATCACTAGAGTGCTCGCGAGTATCGATTTAGCATTCTTACTTTACAATTTTAAAAACTGTGCGTAATAATTATTTAAATAAATAAAAATGCAATTTATTGTAATATAGTGATTATGGTTTTTAATGAAATTGAAGTTCAACAATTTAAAACAATATAGTTATTGTAAATAAAATTTAAGAATAATATTATAAAACAAGATGAACAACAATTCTCCAATGATTTTGCGAGATTCTTTAAAACATTGGAGCTATTTATTTATTTTCGCACTTATTGGATGACATTCACTATTTCTCTTTTCCAAAAATCTGCCGAATTACACTACGATATGGTGGTACCGTAGGTATTATGTACTCTATATATTATATATTCTATGACTGGGAGTTTAACATGTATACAAGTATTCGGCATTTAATGTTATAAATAATGGTGTCAAGCTATTTTATAATTTGATTTTTGCAACAGGTTATTTAATTTCACATACTTTTATTGATTAGTGTATATTAAAACTTTAAATACGCGTGTGGAAGCTAAAATAATAATTTTCCAAAATAAGTATGGATCCAGATTTCGGAGAACTTTCACAAGATACAGAATTTATTGCAAAAGTGAAACAGTTTCGTGATGCAACATTAAAAATTGAAGATACAATTAAACTTGTTACGAATCCAGAAATATATGACAATCTTTCCAATGCTGACAAAATTAAATATAATTTGTTGATGTCTTATAGCCTAAATAGTATGTTTTGGATGTATTTACGAGCAGAAGGTAAGAATTTCATGCAAGGAGTGAAAAATTATTACAAGACATAAAATATTATACCATTTGCTTAATCTATGTTTAATAATTAGTTATCATTTAAGTATTTGCTTATTTAATTGTATTATTAATTAGGAATTGACCCTACGAAACATAGAATAAAATCAGAAAATGATCGTTTGAAGAAGTCTATGACACGTGCGAAGCAAATTGAAGAAAGGAATACACTTATGCCGCGTATAAACAAAGAGGCTGCACAAAGATTCGTTAGAAATGGGTTGTTCGATGTGAAAAATAACAAACGGGAACACAAAGAGATTGAAGATAAAAATGAATCTGTTATAAAATAGTAGTACAAATAGTACCACTATTTATAACTATATGTGTTTATAATTATATGTTTTTTATAATTATATGTGAAATTGTATTTTATAAATACATATAAAGAGTAGATAATTATGTCCATAAAGTATCCAGCATCAAATTTTTGAACTGTTGTAAATTTATAATTTAAAACTAAGTAAAGTTTAAATTGTAAACTGTTCTTCGTTTAGTTTTGTTTGTATTATTGAACAAAAGATTTAACACTAGGTTTACGGAATGCGTCAAATTGATGCATATTGGATTTTAGAAATATTATTTTGTAAATGTTTACGCCGATTTTGATTGATGCAATCACACTGACATGTACCCCAATTACCTACTATCAAATCTCCAGTTTCCACAATCTAAATATACGAGCATCAATTCTTTTAGGAATAATAGAATGAAGTGTACAATAAATGCCCGTAAACCTAGTGTTAAATACCATCTAATAATAACGAACTATATTAGGTAATTTGAAAAAGTATAATATTTTTGTCTCCTAGGACACTTTTTCTGTATATGTTTACTTTAACTCTTCAACCTTCCATGACTATAATGTCTTAAAGCTAATATCACACACATAAAACTTCAGAAAACTGTACTTCTTAAGAAGAGTATAATAAAAGTTTCTTAAAACATATTTACTTGTTGTAAATAGAACAATGGCATCTAAATATAAAATTATAATAAAAAAACATGTGAAAGAAGCTTCACAGTGTTTGTCTTCAGAAAATCCTGAAATATTGCAGAATTCTTGTAACGAAATGCAAGATATTGTTTCAACCATACCTACTTCATTATCTACAAGAGAAGAATATATTTCAATGGATCAGTAAGTTTTATTATGCATATATTGTTTATGTAAGATTTAATTTTCATTTTAAGAAAAAAGTATTTCAGTTATAATACAAACTATATTATATATTTAAAAAGGAGTTTAAACACAATTTTAATATTAAACAACTAATTTTATTTAATTAAACTATATTCTTAAATACATATTCATTTTTTGTAGGATGAATAAAGATTTTAAAGATTTAAAGTTACAAGCATATAACGAATCTAATGAAAATGAAGGTGAATACCTTGCAGGAAATATTAATAATGTTATTGAAACACTTAATGTGGTACTTGTAAAACCATTCTCATTGGACACTCTTTTATATTTTGAAACTCCATTATTCTTAAAGTGTACAAGTGTTCAAAATTCTGAAACAAAATATGTATTTTTGGGTTATATTGATGATATATTTGGATCAGTTGGAGAACCTATGTACTCTGTAACTTTGAAATGCAATTTACGTGATATGTTGAATATTAACACTGAAGTGTACTATTTTCCAAATGATCCAAATACTTTACATATCAATGTTGTTACTAACACAGTTAAAATCTAAACAGAATATATTATATTGTTACTTCATAACATTAATTAAAATAATTATAATAAATTATAATAAACAATTATAGAAAGTAATTTGTGATTGAGTTAACATTTAAGTTTTAATCATTATTAATGAGTAATCACTTTGTGTAATTCTGTTACATATAAAGTAATTATCAATTTCAAATTTTTCATATTCATTGAAGAAACTGTATATTATTCATTATTGTTTTATCTGATATTTATAATGTTAGGGATAATTACTTTTCCCATTATAATACTGTGACTCTTGATATGGAAAGCAAGTACAATTTAAGAAGAAAATAAAAACATTAGAGAATCTTCTTTAGTAAAAATGGGAAAGTAGTTTAATGATTATAAAAATTCTACTGCTGTTTTATTTCTATATTTTCTTTCAATTAATCTCAGAAGGTATAACAATATGTCATATAGGTATTTTGAAATTTCAGAAGAATGGCACGTTTATAATAATCATTCTACATTTGGAATAAGTTCTAATATAGCGACTAAAAAATTCTATTACTTTTGCTTCGTTAGAATTATACTTTTATTTCAATTGTAAGATATAAGAGTTCTTCATCAATTCAAATGATGTACATAAGATAGTTAATCATTTCTAAGCTTCACTGAAAAAATAAATAAATTTCTCATAACTAAGAATTATA